TCCTTTTCATATGGGAAGCCCCCCAGAATACAGCCGCCAGCCGTCACTCCTGTCTGTATTGGTGTTGATGGTGTTGTTTTCAACCAATGTTGTGCAAAAGCGAAGAAATTGTTCCTGCGTATACATATCACTGGATGTGTTTTAGATTAAAAATGTTTATGGCTGAAATACATGCGTTTGACTTCAGAGAATGCCCCGTAGTGATCAAATCACTTTGCCAGTGGACACTAAAGGCATACTCTAGTTCCAAGTTCCTCTTCTGCTGAATACTGATGATTGTTTAGGACTGCTTGTGACTACTTTGTGTTTAATTATATTTATGTTTTTTTTTTTGTCAGATTTGCAGCGAAATCTTCTGAATGCCAGCAAAGTGTGGGAACTTAATGAAGATAAACGAATTCAGCTTGTGTATGTTTTTCAAAGCTCTCATCGTAAGAAGGCCTGTGCAGAGTTCCTGGCTGTCAGCCAAGCATACATGCAGGTAAACTCAAAGCTTGCCGGCATACTGTGTATGGACTTATTGAATAAGGTGGACTATGGGAAAGGATTTCAGTTAAATTATTAATTCTAAACTCCATTTAATCCAACACAAGAACGTCTTCTGCTGTGATCTCGGGTAATGGTGTTTTGGAACTTTGCCCAAGAAACGACAATGTTTGTTTAAAACGTGAAACGCTCTGTAAATCAGTTACATTGCGTTGTGATTATCGGTAATCACATCATTTTACTCTCATTTTTGTTGGTAGCTTGTCAGAGAAACACGGGAAGGTTGCCATTAGAACAAAAATCCCAGTTATAATTTCCAGACATTTTCATTTGAGAAAGGAACAGCATTTTGGGGAATTTCTGGAAAACCTCGTGGGGTAAACCCAAACGTTTGCAAATTTATTACAGGGAATTCCCGTTCGTTCGTTCGAATTTTCGGAATTTTCGGTTGAATGGTTCGTATTTCGGAAATTCAATATTTCCGGATTTTTTTGTAAACTTTTCCCGGAAATTTCCGTGCCATTTGCCCATCTATCGAAAAATTCAGGGGAATTTTCAAAATTTCTGGCCGAATGGAAAGTGCCCATGTTTTCTCACGTATGGATGGGGATAGCAAATACCGTTCCCTTAACTTACCCACAGATACATCAAGAGCTGGAAGAGTTAAAAAATCAACATAACATTGAAGTGATGAGAACATGCGATGTCATTGGTATGACTGTCACTGGTGCGACAATCAGGGCAAACCTATTAGGTAACTACGAAAGTAGCAATCTTAAAATGTGGTTCTCTTTACTAATTGCCGCTATTTCTCTTAACATTAGCCATTGGAATTTGTTATGACATGTAGATCTCAATTGTCAGCTCTTACGTGGCGTAGAAGACACAGTTGATGTAAAACAATAGAGAACAAAAGGACAAAAGATCGAGGACAACAAAGGAAACAATGTTGTGTTCTATTGTGATGTGTCTTCTACACCAAGAAGGAGCCCAATAATTGTCATCCACAACAATCTGCTTGACAATTCGTTAATAGCGTAAGTGACTATTCGGGAACGAAATGGGTTTTTACTTGCTGAATGATCTAATCTCTCTTAAGTTCAAGGACATTCTGTTTTGATTTCTTGGCAGCTGATATAAAACCTTCCGTGATGATAGTCGAGGAGGCTGCCGAAATCCTTGAAGGACAGCTTGTTGCTGTCATACCACCTTCAGTTCAACATCTCATTATGATTGGTGACCACCAACAGCTTAAACCTCTTGTGAACTTCCACAGACTCAAGAAACATCATCTTGATCTCTCTATGTTTGAGAGGCTTGTCAACTGCGATTTGCCTTGCAAGCAACTTAAATTTCAGTCCCGAATGAGGGATGAGTTCGTAGACTTGCTCCGAGTGCTGGAGATTTATGGGGAACTGAAAACAAAGGAAGAGGTAATCACTGACATTCACACGCACTTTGATTAACAATTAGACTTTGAGC